GTCTGGAGACTGGCTAGGCCACTCCAGGACCTTGAGATGCTTCTTACGGAGCCACTCCTTAGTTGCCCTGGCTGTGTGTTTCGGGTCGTTGTCATGCTGGAAGACCCAGCCACGACCCATCTTCAATGCTCTTACTGAGGGAAGGAGGTTGTTGGCCAAGATCTCGCGATACATGGCCCCATCCATCCTCCCCTCGATACGGTGCAGTCGTCCTGTCCCCTTTGCAGAAAAGCATCCCCAAAGAATGATGTTTCCACCTCCATGCTTCACGGTTGGGATGGTGTTCTTGGGGTTGTACTCATCCTTCTTCTTGGTGGTCCTCTGTAGCTCAGCTGGTAGAGCACGGCGCTTGTAACGCCAAGGTAGTGGGTTCGATCCCCGGGACCACCCATACACAAAAATGTATGCACGCACGACTGTAAGTCGCTTTGGATAAAAGCGTCTGCTAAATGGCATATTATTATTATTATTATTCTTCCTCCAAACACGGTGAGTGGAGTTTAGACCAAAAAGCTATATTTTTGTCTCATCAGACCACATGACCTTCTCCCATTTCTCCTCTGGATCATCCAGATGGTCATTGGCAAACTTCAGACAGGCCTGGATATGCGCTGGCTTGAGCAGGGGGACCTTGCGTGCGCTGCAGGATTTTAATCCATGACGGCGTAGTGTGTTACTAATGGTTTTCTTTGAGACTGTGGTCCCAGCTCTCTTCAGGTCATTGACCAGGTCCTGCCGTGTAGTTCTGGGCTGAACCCTCACCTTCCTCATGATCATTGATGCCCCACGAGGTGAGATCTTGCATGGAGCCCCAGACCGAGGGTGATTGACCGTCATCTTGAACTTCTTCCATTTTCAAATAATTGTGCCAACAGTTGTTGCCTTCTCACCAAGCTGCTTGCCTATTGTCCTGTAGCCCATCCCAGCCTTGTGCAGGTCTACAATTTTATCCCTGATGTCCTTACACAGCTCTCTGGTCTTGGCCATTGTGGAGAGGTTGGAGTCTGTCTGATTGAGTGTGTGGACCAGGGGCGGTGTGTTCATTAGGGCGATATGGGCGACGCACTGCCAAACGGGAAAAGGAAGGTTTTTTTTTCTAATCAATTATATCACGGCAACAGTAGTTATCAGTGTTCTAATCTAGACGTCTGATCTGCCACTAAATGTCCAATCAGGCTAAAGTCGTGCTTCAAATGTCCCCGCCCGTTTTGGGGCGATTTCAGTCAGGTTGAAAATCGCCCAGAAGTCTCTCATAGCCTCTAATGTAAAATCAATTTTTTTCAAATATCAGAGCTTTCAATACAATCTCTATGGGTTTCTGAGGGCTTGCACTTACGCGCTTTCGTCATACGTAACATAACCATGAACGTAACTAAGAAAAGAGCGGGTAGCCTCATCAATCAATTCACTACTACTGTCAAAATGGCTAGCCTTCAGTGCAACTCGATTGTCTCTTTGAAAGAAGTTCCTTTTTGTCGGCGAACAAATCAAGATAAATTGGCAACGAAACAATTAGGACCTCCCAGACCAAATTTAATAATTCAACAGGTTTCTACTAAGCAGAGTCGTGAACACTGTCTACGAGAATCGAGACGACCTCATAGAATGTTTTGAAGCCATTCGGACGGGTTCATTGGGTTCATTTTACCAGCCCACCGTGAGAGAGGCATCTGGCTACGTGAGGATGCTACATGATGAAGATTTTATTTTTTTCCTGCGGCTTTTTCACAAAATCATGCCCCACGTCGACATTCTGTACCAGAAGCTACAGAAGAAGGACATCGATGCTGTCTTTATCAAACGTGCCCTCGACAGCTTCACAAGCAGTGTGCAGGCCATAAGGTAAGATTAAACAATATCATTCGATCTTTCTCAAAGCAGAGCTTTATTTGAAAATGTATGCATGAAAGGAGACTGCATTTGTGTTTGAAATTACATTATTCTCATTATATATGGCCAGTGGTGTAATCTAGCTTATTTTATATACTATGTGTACTGTACAGTGGTGCTCATAAGTGTATGAACACATTCTAAAGTTGACTAAAAAGAGGAATAAAAAAATAAAAAAATCATCTTTTGGAAATTGATCTTAATGACTTAATTAAAAAAGTTGGAAAATCCAACCTTTAAGGACACCAATTTTCTTTTCTTTTTTATTCAACTTTAGCATGGGATCATAAGCTTATGAGCACCACTGTATACTGTGCTGAACATCCAGGCTATGTGAGACACAAAGGCTAACTTAAACACTAAAGACTTTATGCATCCCTGCCCATTTTAAGTGGAACTGAAGTATTTGTACTATACATGGATACATTGCATATACCTGTGCATCACATAGACAACAGTACTGTACAAAGCCAACAAACACATTGGTCTGTTTGCCTTCAGGGACTCCTCTCAACAGCAGCTGCAAGAAGCAACAGGAGCCAAAAGACCCAGAACAGCTTTGAGAGAAGAGGAGAAGCAGAGGCTGTCTGAAGAGGTCTGCAACACCATCCTGGATCACACCAAAGAAAGGTTCTCTTTCTCTGGCCACATTTACATTACATTTACATTTTAGTCATTTAGCAGACGCTCTTAACCAGAGCGACTTACAGGAGCAATTAGGGTTAAGTGCCTTGCTCAAGGGCACATTAACGTCATTTAGCAGACGCTCTTAGCCAGAGCGACTCACAAATTGGTGCGTTCACCCTACAGCCAGTGGGATAACCACTTTACAATTTGGGGGGGGGGGGGGGGGGGGGGGTTAGAAGGAATACTTTATCCTATCCCAGGTATTCCTTAAAGAGGTGGGGTTTCAGCCACCTTGTGAGTGCTACCTTACTGCAAGCAGACATGTTTGAAAGGTACTGCCATTCATTTCCTGATGAGGCTCTGAATGCCACTGTGAATGCATACCCCATGCTGAGCAAGGCAAAGCTCAAGACAGAACTATCTCTGATCTATGAGAATCCTGAATTCAAGGGTTGCTGTGGTGCACTGGCACTGTACCAGGTTCTCATGAGCTACAACCTCCAGGAGACGTTCTCTGAGACTGTGACTCTGTTGAACATCCTCATAACTACTCCCATGACAACAGCTGAAGCTGAGAGATGTTTCTCAACTTTGACACGAGTTAAGACATTCCTGCGAAATTCAATGGGCCAGGAACGTCTGAATGCACTGGCCATGCTTTCCATGGAGAGGGAACTAGTCCTCAGCATGCCTGATTTCAATGAGAAAGTCATTGAACGCTTTGCTGTATTGAAACAGAGAAGAGAACAGTTTCAGTACAAGTAATGTAGCCTCTCTCTCTCTTTGTCCCTCCCTGTCTGTCTCTTTAACACACACACGCCCAAATCAGTTCACAGTTGATGTTGTTTAAAATAGTTATTTTTCATTTAAAAAAAAGTTTTTAAAAAAATAATCTGTTCATGTTCATTTTTACAAATCTATACAATTGGCCAGAATATGGTTGTTCATATTTACAAATCTATACAATTGGCCAGAATATGGTTGTTCGTTTTTACAAAGCCATACAGATAGCTGTGTTTACCTTTTCTAGAAATTACTTTCAAATTCTGTTTTCAGGCAAAATGTCTATCACTGTTCATTTTCACAAATCTATACAAGAGGGCAGAATATGGAAGTCTATAAAAATGTCTTATTACCAATAACTTGCATCAATGTTTTCAGTAGCCTCTATCAAAAGCTCCTGCTTGCTTGTTGTGAATTATGCTCAGGTGCACATATTTCCAATTCAACCATGAGGCAAAAAATGTGGTAAAAGCTCTTGTTGATCCTGCAATCTGAACAAATACCAAGATGCTGTATTTTCAGCTGATATTTCATTTGTTTATGGAAATGCATATTGTTTATGCAGTGTTGAGGAATGTGAAAGAACACCCTTGATTATTTTTACTGTGATAACTTATTTTGATTTTGTAAGCCAACACTTTTGAGATCAGTCAATAAATGCTTCTGGTATTGACTTATATGCTGCCCCTGTCTTCATGTTGTTGCTGGACATATCTTTTTAAAAATGTGTGTAGGTCACCTAAATCATCAGAAAAATTGCCCCCCCTGAGAATTTTTTCAGGAGCCGCCACTGGTGTGGACAGGTGTCTTTTATACAGGTAACGAGTTCAAACAGGTGCAGTTAATGAGTGGAGAACAGGAGGGCTTCTTAAAGAAAAACTAACAGGTCTGTGAGAGCCGGAATTCTTACTGGTTGGTAGGTGATCAAATACTTATGTCATGCAATAAAATGCAAATTAATTACTTAAAAATCATACAATGTGATTTTCTGGATTTTTTTAGATTCCGTCTCTCACAGTTGAAGTGTACCTATGATAAACATTACAGACCTCTACATGCTTTGTAAGTAGGAAAACCTGCAAAATCGTCAGTGTATCAAATACTTGTTCTCCCCACTGTACATACTGTATTCTAGTCATGGTTCATCCAATATATACACACTCACCGGCCAGTTTGTTACACGAAAATGGTTCGCTCCTACAGACAGTAGCCGTGGTTTGCTATATAAAGCAGGCAGACAGGCTTCGGGAAATTCAGTGTTGGGTCAGGGGTTAGGGGTTAGGGGTCAGGTACCTGTAGTTCATGTGCCTTCTTGGCCCCCTCCTGTTTGATGGTGTTGGGTTAGGGGTTAGGGGTTAGGGGTCAGGGGTCAGGTACCTGTAGTTCATGTGCCTTCTTGGCCCCCTCCTGTTTGAAGGTGTTGGGTCAGGGGTTAGGGGTTAGGGGTCAGGTACCTGTAGTTCCTGTGCCTTCTTGGCCCCCTCCTGTTTGATGGTGTTGGGTTAGGGGTTAGGGGTCAGGTACCTGTAGTTCATGTGCCTTCTTGGCCCCCTCCTGTTTGAAGGTGTTGGGTTAGGGGTTAGGGGTTAGGGGTTAGGGGTTAAGGGGTCAGGGGTCAGGTACCTGTAGTTCCTGTGCCTTCTTGGCCCCCTCCTGTTTGATGGTGTTGGGTTAGGGGTTAGGGGTTAGGGGTCAGGTACCTGTAGTTCCTGTGTCTTCTTGGCTCCCTCCTGTTTGATGTTGTTGGTCATGCTCTCCTTCATCTCAACCAGGACGGCGAATAACGTATCAAACTCCTCCTCCAGGTCTGACACTACTTGTGTGGAGTTCACCTGTCAACCATCACACATAGTGATACACCTGTCAACAATCACACATAGTGATACACCTGTCAACAATCACACATAGTGATACACCTGTCACAATCACACATAGTGATACACCTGTCAACAATCACACATAGTGATACACCTGTCACAATCACACATAGTGATACACCTGTCACAATCACACATAGTGATACACCTGTCACAATCACACATAGTGATACACCTGTCAACAATCACACATAGTGATACACCTGTCACAATCACACATAGTGATACACCTGTCACAATCACACATAGTGATACACCTGTCACAATCACACATAGTGATACACCTGTCACAATCACACATAGTGATACACCTGTCACAATCACACATAGTGATACACCTGTCAACAATCACACATAGTGATACACCTGTCACAATCACACATAGTGATACACCTGTCACAATCACACATAGTGATACACCTGTCACAATCACACATAGTGATTCACCTGTCACAATCACACATAGTGATACACCTGTCACAATCACACATAGTGATACACCTGTCACAATCACACATATTGATTCACCTCGTAACCCAGAACCATATCTCTGCATCGCGAGAGTCTACAGATTGATTAACATGGCATATTTGGTCAATGGAAATTACTGTACAAGATTGTAATATCAAGATTATTATTGCTGTATGATATGTTTAATGTAATTGACTGACTGTTATTATGTATGTCTTACCTGGACACCAGCCAGAGAGTGACTAAGTGTTTCCATGAAGTTATGGAGCTCCTCATTTTTATTGGCCAATGTGGATATTATTCTTTGCAGGGCCTCCTGCAACACAGAACAACATTTAAAAAAAATCATCCATTTATAAAAAATACATGTAATTTATATAGTGTTGTTCATTACACAGGAATGTCAAAGCTCTACATAGAATATAGGGGGTGTTTCTCAATATGCATAGCTAGCCAGCTAGTTAAACAGGCAAAAATGACCTAAAACTAATGTTATGCAAGGTAGATGTAAATTCTTCGTGGGTAGCTAGCTAGCTAACAATTATTTGTGGTTAGCTCTATTATTATCTATGCACACTACAGTGGGTAAACATGCCAAAATGAACACAGCATGTATTTATCAATGTATCAAGATTAGGGCTGTCACGGTGACCGTATTACCGCCACACCGGCAGTCACCAGTCATGACCGCAGTCAAACTCTACGTGACCGTTTAGTCACGGTAATTAGGCTTAATAATAATAATAATAATAATAATAATAATAATATGCCATTTAGCAGACGCTTTTATCCAAAGCGACTTACAGTCGTGCGTGCATATATTTTGTGTGTATGGGTGGTCCCGGGGATCGAACCCACTACCATTGGCGTTACAAGCGCCGTGCTCTACCAGCTGAGCTACAGAGGACCACTTGGCTTCTCCAAGCTCTGATGCTGCTGATGGTCATGAATGTAAAAACAGAAATAAAAAAACCTTGACTAACTGGTGCCCCCGCACAATGACTCTGTACAAAGCTGTCATCAAGGCAAAGGGTGGCTATTTGAAGAATCTCACATATATTTTGATTTGTTTAAAACTTTTTTGTTTACAACATGATTCCATGTGTTATTTCATAGTTTTGATGTCTTCACTATTATTCTACAATGTAGAAAATAGTAAAAGTAAAGTAAAATCCTTGAATGAGTAGGTGTGTCCAAACGTTTGACTGGTAGTGTATATGTGTAAAGTCTTGGTGAACTGTCTTGTTGCTGTGGGCAGAGCGCTAACTGTCTTGGTTCTGTGGGCAGAGCGCTAAACTGTCTTGGTTCTGTGGGCAGAGCGCTAAACTGTCTTGTTGCTGTGGGCAGAGCGCTAAACTGTCTTGGTTCTGTGGGCAGAGCTCTAAACTGTCTTGGTTCTGTGGGCAGAGCGCTAAACTGTCTTGTTGCTGTGGGCAGAGCGCTAAACTGTCTTGGTTCTGTGGGCAGAGCTCTAAACTGTCTTGGTTCTGTGGGCAGAGCGCTAAACTGTCTTGTTGCTGTGGGCAGAGCGCTAAACTGTCTTGGTTCTGTGTGCAGAGCTCTAAACTGTCTTGTTGCTGTGGGCAGAGCGCTAACTGTCTTGGTTCTGTGGGCAGAGCGCTAAACTGTCTTGGTTCTGTGGGCAGAGCGCTAAACTGTCTTGTTGCTGTGGGCAGAGCGCTAAACTGTCTTGGTTCTGTGTGCAGAGCTCTAAACTGTCTTGTTGCTGTGGGCAGAGCGCTAACTGTCTTGGTTCTGTGGGCAGAGCGCTAAACTGTCTTGGTTCTGTGGGCAGAGCGCTAACTGTCTTGGTTCTGTGGGCAGAGCGCTAAACTGTCTTGGTGCTGTGGACAGAGCGCTAAACTGTCTTGGTTCTGTGGGCAGAGCTCTAAACTGTCTTGGTTCTGTGGGCAGAGCGCTAAACTGTCTTGTTGCTGTGGGCAGAGCGCTAAACTGTCTTGGTTCTGTGTGCAGAGCTCTAAACTGTCTTGTTGCTGTGGGCAGAGCGCTAACTGTCTTGGTTCTGTGGGCAGAGCGCTAAACTGTCTTGGTTCTGTGGGCAGAGCGCTAAACTGTCTTGTTGCTGTGGGCAGAGCGCTAAACTGTCTTGGTTCTGTGTGCAGAGCTCTAAACTGTCTTGTTGCTGTGGGCAGAGCGCTAACTGTCTTGGTTCTGTGGGCAGAGCGCTAAACTGTCTTGGTTCTGTGGGCAGAGCGCTAACTGTCTTGGTTCTGTGGGCAGAGCGCTAAACTGTCTTGGTGCTGTGGGCAGAGCGCTAAACTGTCTTGGTTCTGTGGGCAGAGCGCTAAACTGTCTTGGTTCTGTGGGCAGAGCGCTAAACTGTCTTGTTGCTGTGGGCAGAGCGCTAAACTGTCTTGGTGCTGTGGGCAGAGCGCTAAACTGTCTTGGTTCTGTGGGCAGAGCGCTAAACTGTCTTGGTTCTGTGGGCAGAGCGCTAAACTGTCTTGGTTCTGTGGGCAGAGCGCTAAACTGTCTTGGTTCTGTGGGCAGAGCGCTAAACTGTCTTGTTGCTGTGGGCAGAGCGCTAAACTGTCTTGTTGCTGTGGGCAGAGCGCTAAACTGTCTTGTTGCTGTGGGCAGAGCGCTAAACTGCCTTGTTGCTGTGGGCAGAGCGCTAAACTGTCTTGGTTCTGTGGGCAGAGCGCTAAACTGTCTTGTTGCTGTGGGAAGAGCTGTGAATGGCCCATCATCATAAAGGCTAGTTGTGAATGGCCCATCTCCCTAAAGGCTAGTTGTGAATTGTCATCACCCTAAAGGCTAGTTGTGAATGGCCCATCACCCTAAAGGCTAGTTGTGAATGGCCCATCACCCTAAAGAATAGTTGTGAATGGCCCATCACCCTAAAGAATAGTTGTGAATGGCCCATCACCCTAAAGGCTAGTTGTGAATGCCCATCACCCTAAAGGCTAGTTGTGAATGGCCCATCACCCTAAAGGCTAGTTGTGAATGGCCCATCACCCTAAAGGCTAGTTGTGAATGGCCCATCAACCTAAAGGCTAGTTGTGAATGGCCCATCAACCTAAAGGCTAGTTGTGAATGGCCCATCACCCTAAAGGCTAGTTGTGAATGGCCCATCACCCTAAAGACTAGTTGTGAATGGCCCATGCTGAAACGTCACAACTGCTCTACTGTCTACTTGGACTCCCTGGGAATGGAAATGTAACATGGCCTTTCTACTGTCTCTAGGTGGATGGGTATCTGGCACCAACACAGCGCCTGGCTGCGTCCAAATGGCCCCCTATTCCCTATATAGTGCACTACTTTTGATCAGGGCCCATAAGGCTGAAGTAGAGCAATATTTGGGACGTAGCCTTGCCATCTCTTCCCCAACAGTAGAGTTTTGTATTTATTAAGGATACTCTTCCTGGGGTCCAAACAAATCCTAATGAAACAGTACATCATACAACATATTATTACACCACTACTCTACCAATACATACTGTATCTACAATACAACATATTATTACACCACTACTCTACCAATACATACTGTATCTACAATACAACACATTATTACACCACTACTCTACCAATACATACTGTATCTACAATACAACACATTATTACACCACTATTCTACCAATACATACTGTATCTACAATACAACACATTATTACACCACTATTCTACCAATACATACTGTATCTACAACACATTATTACACCACTCCTCTACCAATACATACTGTATCTACAACACATTATTACACCACTCCTCTACCAATACATACTGTATCTACAACACATTATTACACCACTCCTCTACCAATACATACTGTATCTACAACACATTATTACACCACTCCTCTACCAATACATACTGTATCTACAACACATTATTACACCACTCCTCTACCAATACATACTGTATCTACAACACATTATTACACCACTCCTCTACCAATACATACTGTATCTACAACACATTATTACACCACTCCTCTACCAATACATACTGTATCTACAACACATTATTACACCACTCCTCTACCAATACATACTGTATCTACAAACACATTATTACACCACTACTCTACCAATACATAATGTATCTACAACACATTATTACACCACTCCTCTACCAATACATACTGTATCTACAACACATTATTACAACCCACTCCTCTACCAATACATACTGTATCTACAACACATTATTACACCACTCCTCTACCCAATACATAATGGTATCTACAACACATTATTACACCACTCCTCTACCAATACATACTGTATCGTACAACACATTATTACAACCACTCCTCTACCAATACATACTGTATCTACAACACATTATTACACCACTCCTCTACCAATACATACTGTATCTACAACACATTATTGCACCAATACATACACACATATATATATATATATATATATAAGTATGTAGACACCCCTTCAAATGAGTGGATTCGGCTATTTTAGCCACACCCGTTGCTGACAGGTGTGTAAAAATCGAGCACACAGCCACGCAATTTATATAGACAAACAGAATGGCCTTACTGAAGAGCTCAGTGGTTTTCAACGTGGCACCGTCATAGGATGCCGCCTTTTCAACAAGTCAGTTCGTCAAATTTCTGCCCTGCTAGAGCTGCCCCAGTCAACTGTAAGTGCTGTTATTGTGAAGTGGAAACGTCTAGGAGCAACAACGGCTCAGCCGCGAAGTGGTAGGCCACACAAGCTCACAGAACGGGACCGCCGAGTGTTGAAGCGCGTAGCGCGTAAAAATCGAATGTCTTCGGATGCAATACTCACTACCGACTTCCAACCTGCCTCTAGGAAGCAATGTCAGCACAATAACTGTTCGTTGGGAGGTTCATGAAATTGGTTTCCATGGCCGAGCAGCCGCACCAAGCCTAAGATCACCATGCACAATGCCAAGCGTCGGCTGGAGTGGTGTAAAGCTCGCCGCCATTGGACTCTGGAGCAGTGAAAACGCGTTCTCTGGTGTGATGAATCACGTTTCACCATCTGGCTGTCCGACTGAAGAATCTGGGTTTGGCAGATGCCATGAGAACGCTACCTGCCCCAATGCATAGTGCCAACTGTAAAGTTTGGTGGAGGAGGAATAATGGTCTGGCGCTGTTTTTCATGGTTCGGGCTAGGCCCCTTAGTTCCAGTGGAGGGAAATCTTAACACTACAGCATACAATGACATTCTAGACGATTCTGTGCTTCCAACTTTGTGGCAACAGTTTGGAGAAGGCCCTTTCCTGTTTCAGCATGACAATGCCCCCATGCACAAAGCGAGGTCCTTACAGAAATGGTTTGTCGAGATCGGTGTGGAAGAACTTGACTGGCCTGCACAGAGCCCTGACCTCAACCCCACCAAACACCTTTGGGATTAATTTGAATGCCGACTGCGAGCCAGGCCTAATCGCCCAACATCAGTGCCTGACCTCACTAATGCTTGTGTCTGAATGGAAGCAAGTCCCCGAAGCAATGTTCCAACATCTAGTGGAAAGCCTTCCCAGAAGAGTGGAGGCTGTTATAGCAGCCAAAGGGGGGGACCAACTCCATATTAATGCCCATTATTTTGGAATGAGATGTTTGACGAGCAGGTGTCCACATACACTACATGATCAAAAGTATCTACAATCCAAATTGTATAATACCACAATATTACAACATTACTATGTACATGTGTGTGCGTATGTGTGTGTGCCTGGGTGTGTGTCTCTTCACAGTCCCTGTTGTTCCATAAGGTGTAGTTTTCTGTTTTTTAATCTGATTCTACTGTTCGCTTGAGTTACTTGATGTGGAATAGAGTTCCATGTAGTCATGGCTCTATGTAGTACTGTGCGCCTCCCACATTCTGTTTTGGACTTGGGGACTGTGAAGAGACCCCTGGTGGCATGTCTTGTGGGGTATGCATGGGTGTCTGAGCTGTGTGCTAGCCGTTTAAACAGACAGCTCGGTGCTTTCAACATGTCAATACCTCTCACAAATACAAGTAGTGATGCAGTCAATCTCTCCTCTACTTTGAGCCAGGAGAGATTGACATGCAGAGTTCATGTCAACACATGGAAACAAAGGACCAACACCATGAGTTAAGGTTATACCCTTCTTTAGGACCCCGTCTCCCTCCTGTCAATTACATTAGTGTACAGTGTCAATATTGCCTACAGTACTGACTACAGTACTGACTACAGTATTGACTACAGCACTGACTACAGTACTGACTACAGTACTGACTACAGCACTGACTACAGTACTGACTACAGCACTGACTACAGTACTGACTACAGTACTGACTACAGTATTGACTACAGTACTGACTACAGTACCGACTACAGTATTGACTACAGTACCGACTACAGTATTGACTACAGTACTGACTACAGTACCGACTACAGTACTGACTACAGTACTGACTACAGTAACTGAGAGGACCCAGATGGAAATGAAGATACAGGTTTGTTCACATTGTTTCAGAGTTGGGACAAGGTTTATACAGCCATCACTGTTGGAAATCAAATGCTAAGCTAGAAGCAAGAATAAATACATTTTTAAATGTCTTATTGCTTTATAACATTGGTCGCATGTTGTGTTTGCCCGTTAGCCCAGGTCTTTGGAATATAGCCCAGGGTTTGCAACGCCAGGGTTGTGGGTTCGATTCCCACGGGGGGCCAGTATGAAAAATAAAAAATAATGTATGCACTCACTAACTGTAAGTCGTTCTGGATAAGAGCGTCTGCTAAATGACTAAAAATGTAAATGTAAAATGTTAACAAATGCTTGTGTGACCCGTCTAGCCTGGGAGTAAGAACAATGCAGTGTGAAAAGGCCTATTGTGTTCTATCCTCAATAATTGTTATGTATTGTTCTCTGTTCATTAGTAACTCATGTTGTAGCGTACATGATGCTTGCTGACCTCTATGTCGTACACTAGAAAGTAAGAAAAAAGCCCAATTTACTGGAGATTTGGTAAAGGTTTGTCCTACAGTAGTTCCAATTTAATACCATCAAGATGGATTTGCTTTGGATTGGTATTTGATTGAGCATCAGGTAACATTTTCTGAAAAAGATAACACCTAAATACCAGGCTATACATTGAACAGGACAAACATAACACCTAAATACCAGGCTATACATTGAACAGGACAAACAGAATCATAGATATAAAAGAACCCACTGACTCCAAGGAGCCATTGCCTCAGTTCCGTTTCCAACTACAGTACTTTCAGATATCCACTGTCCAATAAGATAGACAATACACACTGAGTGTACAAAACATTAAGAACACCTGCTCTTTCCATGACATACACTGACCAGGTGAATCCAGGTGAACGCTATGATCCCTTATTGGATGTCACTTGTTAAATCCACTTCAAATCCGTGTAGATGAAGGGGAGGAGACAGGTTAAAGAAGGATTTTTAAGCCTTGAGACAATTGAGACATGGATTGTGTATGTGTGCCATTCAGAGGGTAAATGAGCAAGACAAAAGATTGAAGTGCCTTTGAACGGGGTATGGTAGTAGGTGCCAGGCGCAGCGTTTTGAGTGTGTCAAGAACTGCAACGCTGCTGGGTGTTTCACGCCCAACAGTTTCCCGTGTGTGTCAAGAATGGTCCACCACCCAAAGGACATCTAGCCAACTTGACACAACTGTGGGAAGCATTGGAGTCAACATGGGCCAGCATCCCTGTGGAATGCTTTCGACACCTTGTAGAGTCCAATGCCCTGACGAATTGAGGCTGTTCTGAGGGCAAAAGGGGGGTGCAACTCAATATTAGGAAGGTGTTCATAATGTTTTGTCCACTCAGTGTAGATAGAGTACTGTGTATGTGTATTGTCTTGGACAGTGTACAGAAATGTTTGTGTTTCTGTATGTTCCTCTATATCCTGTGAATGTTGACAGATGTCTGTTAGTTCCCGGGGGGGGACCGACCGGCCGAACGCGCGACCGTGCAACTGAGCAACACAACACGATTAGGCAGATTGGAGGATTGGGCTTCACTTCTATTTAAAGCTGCTGCATGACACCACCGACAGATTATTGAAAGAATATATATAACGTGCACACAGGTCAATATCTTCATGTTTTCTGATCTGACCTCTGCTATAGACCCCATCCCCTGGTCCCTAACCCCTAGGCACTAAGTAGACCTGAGAGGATATGACAGTTGGGGCAGTACAGTAGGACTTTCTCTGTGCCCCCTGAGAGGATATGACAGTTGGGGCAGTACAGTAGGACTTTCTCTGTGCCCTCTGAGAGGATATGACAGTTGGGGCAGTACAGTAGGACTTTCTCTGTGCCCTCTGAGAGGATATGACAGTTGGGGCAGTACAGTAGGACTTTCTCTGTGCCCCCTGAGAGGATATGGACAGTTGGGGCAGTACAGTAGGACTTTCTCTGTGCCCTCTGAGAGGATATGACAGTTGGGGCAGTTACAGTAGGACTTTCTCTGTGCCTCTGAGAGGATATGACAGTTGGGGCAGTACAGTAGGACTTTCTCTGTGCCCCCTGAGAGGATATGGACAGTTGGGGCAGTACAGTAGGACTTTCTCTGTGCCCTCTGAGAGGATTATGACAGTTGGGGCAGTACAGTAGGACTTTCTCTGTGCCCCCTGAGAGGATATGACAGTTGGAGCAGTACAGTAGGACTTTCTCTGTGCCCTCTGAGAGGATATGACAGTTGGGGCAGTACAGTAGGACTTTCTCTGTGCCCTCTGAGAGGATAGGTGTAATGTTCCTCATATTGCATAACATTAGGCTATAGCCTACCCATCCAACCCACCCGATAGATAACCCCATGCTAATTGACAACAACAAACTCAGTGAGATGAACATGAGGTTCCATAACCATGTTGTAGCAGAAGCTTGTAGGCCTCCACATAACATTTTACATTTTAGTCATTTTAGCAGAAGCTCTTATCCAGAGCGACTTACAGGAGCAATTAGGGTTAAGTGCCTTGCTCAAGGGCACATCGACAGATTTTTCACCTAGTCGGCTCGGGGATTAGAACCAGCGACCTTTCGGTTACAGGCACAACGCTCTTACCCACTAAGCTACCTGCCGCAGCAGATCAGCGTCAGCTACAAAGGGAGGGGGTTTAACAGGACTTAAAGCCTACTCCTCTCAACAGGCTATTACACAGTAGAGATACACAGCAAACCCCTCTGCGGTCGTTCCCCTGGGCTGTGTCCCAAATGCCACCCTATCTATTCCATATATAGTGCACTATTTTTCACCCTTAGCCCAATAGTAGTTTGAGGAACTTCAAAAAAAAAAATTGAAAAAAAATGGTATTGATCTTTTCCTAAATTTAGAAAATAAATTAAATGGAAGAACAACATCCAGTAAGCTATGGAGGTCCTTTGGAGGAAGGATGTTTGATGTGTAAGCTTAATTGGCTCTAAAAAGAGCAGGATCTGCAGTACTTAGAAACAGTCTACTAGTCGTTTTTATGCTGTAACTAGAAATACTACTCATTTGAGCTGTTGTCACTACCAGTAGTGTTGGACTCGATCCTGTAACCACAGCACAGGCCCTTACCTAGGAAACACATGTCAACTCAATGCTGGCCTCGGGCCTATATCTATTTCAGTTGCATTCTGTTCAGCCCAATGGATACTCCACTGTAAAACACTGTCTAGGAGTGATGTCAAAACGTAGGCCCCTAAACGACAGCGCTCAAACATGGTGAGTTGGTTTAAAAAGTCAAGTGGAAGGAGGGAAAGGTGGTTTGATTCAATTCAAACATCTGAAACTAGAGGTGCATGGCTGTATGATAGTCCTTTACTGGACACTACTCTGCAGTGCTCAACTCAACAAAACGTACAAAACATTGATGAACGACTAACTCAAACCCCAGCCAAATCGAACTGTAATGGCTTCTACTGGAGATTGACAATTACTTTTTAAAAATAGTCATTCAAATGGATTAATGTTGTAAAGTCAGAATATGATTGCAAATATAATGTCCGTCTGCCTGCCTTCCCATCTGTCTGTCCGTCTGCCTGCCATCCCGTCTGTCTGTTTGTCCGTCTGCCTGCCTTCCCGTCTGTCTGTCCGTCCGCCTGCCTTCCCGTCTGCCTGCCTTCCGTCTGTCTGTCTGTCTGCCTGCCTGCCTTCCCGTCTGTCTGTCTGTCTGTCTGCCTGCCTGCATGCCTTCCCGTCTGTCTGTCTGCCTCCCTTCCCGTCTGTCTGCCTGCCTTCCCGTCTGTCTGCCTGCCTTCCCGTCTGTCTGTCTGTCTGTCTGCCTGCCTTCCCGTCTGTCTACCTTCCCGTCTGTCTGTCTGCCTGCCTTCCCGTCTGTCTGTCTTTCTGTCTGCCTTCCCGTCTGTCTGCCTGCCTTCCTGTCTGTCTGTCTGTCTGCCTTCCCGTCTGTCTATCTGTCTGTCTGCCTTCCCGTCTGTCTGTCTGCCTTCCCGTCTGTCTGTCTGCCTTCCCGTCTGTCTGTCTGCCTTCTCGTCTGTCTGTCTGCCTTCCCGTCTGTCTGTCCACCTTCCCGCCTTCCCGTCTGTCTGTCTGAGGTGCTGGCTCCCTACTAGTGCCACTTCCTTCTTGAGTGTCACTGTTCCTTTCAGAATGACGTCACTCCTCTCCTCTCTGACTGAGGGTTATAATAGACCTGTACCACTGGTGTGACCTCGCTCTCTCTCTCTCTCTCTCTGACTCAGTAATAGACTTAGAAGAAGCTTAGATTGACAGCACGTGCTAAAGGCTATATATTCTCCTCCATTTATTCAGTACAAAGGAGAGGTAGCCCTATGGGTCATTTTCCTGTTTGATAGTCACCCCCTAGTAATGCTGATAACAAACAGAAAACAAGGCCAAACGATAAGATCATCCTGTTGCTATAGGCCCTTGACAACAGACTTAAAGCAATGTGTGTGACACTTCATAACAAATATAATGTTTCTTTTTTCATGACTTCAAAAACACGACAAGTCCATGAAAGGCGTGTAACCACAAATATTCACTTTATAATGATATGATGTTTTGTTGTTGTTGCAATAACAGACTGTCTGATCTAAAGTGGCAGACAAATAAACCAATAGCCTATAGGACAGGCAAAGCTGTATAATAAAGAAATGAATGACTTTGACACCTGCTGTGACTGTCAAAACCACAATAGCAAGTAGGAAGTGAATTACTTTACAGAAGTGCACCTCATCATATTCAATAACAAGATCAATGTCAAATGTGTCAAATCATTGATGGGTAGAGGAACTGTCACAGGAAAGATGTGTGAATACCAGTCATTGGAGAATACCCAGAAGGAGGAAACGTTCGAAAGAAACATTGTATAAGAACATATCTAGTTTCCAAGTCAACAGATTCTTCATAAGCAACAGAGCGAATGTGAACATGTTTCCAGCACTAAAACATCACGCATATTGGTGATAAACAATGACAAAATAACGAAAATAACGGAACGTTGAACTAATGTTGGATTTCCTTTCGATCGTTCATAGCAAGATCGTCTCGTTACATACAACTATCGCTTTGACTAACGGTGCACAGCTGGCATGCACAGCTGACGACTGAATCATCATCGATATCGGTTCATAATACGCCGGGTGCACTTACTTTTTGAGAGTCCATACCGAGGACCGAAACACAAATATAATCAAATCCAATGCATAGGCAGGCAGGCGAAGTTTTCTACACAACCCACTCTCCAAAGAGGAAGACGATTACCCCACTGGATGACGGAGCACAGTGCACGTACATGCGCAGTAGTTTTTTAAACCCTCGCCCTCATACATTAGAGGCAATATACAAAATGTAGACTTGTTGCGCCCTCCACTGGACTGAAGAAGAATGGCTCAGATTTGTTAGTGGTCACGAGGGGCAGGGTTTTGCAGAGGGATTCCACTTCTCAGAGATTTCCCCCAAAGTCTCGCGATAATGGTTGGTTGCTGTGGTAACGTCAAAAGAAGTGTACTGGTAGCTTGCTAGCTACAACAAAAGTACAAACAATCAAATTACAGTCAGTCAGATTGAGCGGTTTGACGCCTATACAAAACACGAGGTAAGTTGGTACACTTATATTAGGCATTTTTGGGCTACCTAGAAATTGCCGAGACAACGGTTTTATTAGCAAACTAGCTAGTTATGTAAATGTAACGTAAATGTAAATATAAGCTAGCAACGTCCAGCTAACATTAGCCTAGCTAGCTAACACGTTTTTACGTTTTTTTAATCAACCTACGTAGGTTTAGTTTAGCTTTCCTGACGTTACTCCACCGGGCAGTTGTTTGTCGTTGAACGACTGATTTTCTCCTGTAGGATTTTGTGGAGAGGAGGGAAAACCAGTGAAGAGATGGCGAGCCAGAGGCTACCCTCAGGTAGACCGATGAGTCGGGGGTCTCTAGTACCAGGGACTGGGAGACTTCCAACCGCCGTCAGACCTCCACCCACAGCCATTAGGGTCGGAACTGGGGTAAAGCCAAGTCACAGTTTTGATGTTTTTCTTGCAGATCCCTGACTAACTATCATCACCCTTTACACACCTTCTGTAGCGTATGGACAAACAGTGAAAGTCTGCACACCCCTTGCACAGTTATCACATTTCGCTGGCATAAAATTAAATCTAAAAAGGGATTCAATTGAAATTTTTCCCCTACTGATCTGCACATCCTGCGCCACATTTTCAAAGTAAAAGAAAAAGTATAGAAAGTGTTCTAAAAATATATAAACAAAGATGTCTTGATGGCATATTTCTTCACACCTCAGAGTTAATACTTTGTGCAAGCACCTTTGGCAGAAAATACAGCTGAAAATCACTTTGAAAACGATCCTACCAACTCTGCGCAACATATATCCATTGTTTTTGTCAGAATTTCTCAAGCTCAGTAAATTTAGTTGAGAATTATTGATGGACAGCAATATTCAAACCTTGTCTCTGATTTCTAAGCAGATTTACAGTGCATTCTGAAAATATTCAGACCCCTTGACTTTTCCCACATTTTGTTACATTACAGCCTTATTCTGAAATGGATTAAATAAAACATTTTCCTCATCAATCTACACACAATACCCCATAATGACAAAGCGAAAACAGGTTTTTCAAAATGTACATAAGTATTCAGACCGTTTGCTATGACACTTGAAATTGAGCTCGGGTGCATCCTGTTTCCAATGATCATCCTTGAGATGTTTCTACAACTTGATTGCAGTCCACCTGTGGTAAATTCAATTGATTGGACAGGATTTGGAAAGGCACACACCTGTCTGTATAAGGTCCCACAGTTGACAGTGCATGTCAGAACAAAAACCAAGCCATGAGGTCGAAGGAATTCTCCGTAGAGCTCCAAGACAGGATTGTGTCGATGCACAGATCTGGGGAAGGGTACCCAAAGAAATGTGCAGCATTGAAGGTCCCCAAGAACACAGTGGCCTCCATCATTCTTCAATGGAAGAAGTTTGGAACCACCAAGACTCTTCCTAGAGCTGAAGCATGGTGGTGGCAGCATCATGCTGTGGGGATGTTTTTCAGCGGCAGTGACTGGGAGACTAGTCAGGATCGAGGGAAAGATGAACAGAGCAAAGTACAGAGAGATCCTTGATGAAAACCTGCTCCAGAGTGCTCACGACCTCAGACTGGGGTGAAGGTTCACCTTCCAACAGGACAACGACCCTAAGCACACAGCCAAGACAACGCAGGAGTGGCTTCGGGACAAGTCTCTGAATGTCCTTGAGTGGCCCAGCCAGAGCCCGGACTTGAACCCGATCGAACATCTCTGGAGAGACTTGAAAATAGCTGTGCAGCGACGCTCCACATCCAACCTGACAGAGCATGAGAGGATCTGCAGAGAAGAATGGGAGAAACTCCCCAAATACAGGTGTGCCAAGCTTGTAGCGTCATACCCAAGAAGACTCAAGGCTGTAATCGCTGCCAAAGGTGCTTCAACAAAGTACTGAGTAAATGGTCTGAATACTTCTGTAAATGTGATATTCCCGTTTTTTATTTTTAATACATTTGCAAACATTTCTAAAAACCTGTTTTTGCTTTGTCATTATGGGGTATTGTGTGTAGATTGATGATGGGGGGAAACGATTGAATCCATTTTAGAATAAGGCTGTAACGTAACAATGTGGAAAAAGTCAAGGGGTCTGGATACTTTCCGAATGCACTGTAAGTCAGGACTGAGACTGGACCCCTCAGGAACACTGAATACCTCTTGAAAGCCATTCTGGTGTGTCTTAAGCATTAACATTTAAGTAATTGCCCCGCTGAAAAATACAACTATATCCCAGGGTTAGGTATTCTGGGGCCGGTTGCACTAGTTGGTGTCCGAATTTACACCTGTTGCACCAACCAAAAATACGACTAGTTGGCGTAAGCAATGTGCGTTCATGATTTGATACTTCATAATGATGGTTGCTAGGCAAATCAAATCAAATTTTGCGCCCCCCGTTACTAGGCTGTTACAATCCTCGTGGCAGTTCTAAAGTTTACGACGAGGCATGTTCCATCACTTCGTAAAGCCTTTTCTAGTTTGTTTAAAGTGGAATCTAAGCAGCATTTCTATATTGAATAATGTGTCCTTGTCTTGTGTGTAATGTGTAGATGGTGCCGGGTACTGGGCGTCCTGGAACCAAAGGAGGAGCCCTAGGGACCTCTGGCGTTCTCTCTGCTCAAATCAAAGTGGCCGACCGGCCAGTCACCCAGCAGGGCCTGAGCGGCATGAAGACTGGCATGAAGGGTACAGTAGTACCTGTAGTAATAACCTGTAATAATAACCTGTAGTATTCACCTGTAGTAATAACCTGTAATAATAACCTGTAGTATTCACCTGTAATAATAACCTGTAGTATTCACATGTAATAATAACCTGTAGTATTCACCTGTAATAATAACCTGTAGTATTCACCTGTAATAATAACCTGTAGTATTCACCTGTAATAATAACCTGTAGTATTCACCTGTAGTAATAACCTGTAATAATAACCTGTAGTATTCACCTGTAATAATAACCTGTAGTATTCACCTGTAATAATAACCTGTAGTATTCACATGTAATAATAACCTGTAGTATTCACATGTAATAATAACCTGTAGTATTCACCTGTAATAATAACCTGTAGTATTCACCTGTAATAATAACCTGTAGTATTCACCTGTAATAATAACCTGTAGTATTCACCTGTAATAATAACCTGTAGTATTCACCAGTAATAATAACCTGTAGTATTCACCTGTAATAATAACCTGTAGTATTCACCTGTAATAATAACCTGTAGTATTCACCTGTAATAATAACCTGTAGTATTCACCTGTAATAATAACCTGTAGTATTCACCTGTAATAATAACCTGTAGTATTCACCTGTAATAATAACCTGTAGTATTCACCTGTAATAATAACCTGTAGTATTCACCTGTAATAATAACCTGTAGTATTTACCTGTAATAATAACCTGTAGTATTCACCTGTAATAATAACCTGTAGTATTCACCTGTAATAATAACCTGTAATATTCACCTGTAGTATTCACCTGTAATAATCACCTGTAATAATAACCTGTAGTATTCACCTGTAATAATAACCTGTAGTATTCACCTGTAATAATAACCTGTAATATTCACCTGTAATAATAACCTGTAGTATTCACCTGTATTATTACATTTTACATTTACATTTTAGTCATTTAGCAGATGCGCTTATCCAGAGCGACTTACAGTTAGTGAGTGCATACATTATTTTATTACATTTTTTCATACTGGCCCCCCGTGGGAATCAAACCCACAACCCTGGCGTTGCAAACGCCATGTTCTACCAACTGAGCTACATCCCTGCCGGCCATTCCCTACCCTACCCTGGACGACGCTGGGCCAATTGTGCACCGCCCCATTATTCAGCTGTAATATTCACCTGTATTATTCAGCTGTAATAGTCACCTGTATTATTCAGCTGTAATAGTCACCTGTATTATTCAGCTGTAATAGTTACCTGTATTATTCAGCTGTAATAGTCACCTGTATTATTCATCTGTATTATTCACCTGTATTATTCACCTGTAATAGTCACCTGTATTATTCACCTGTATTATTTACCTGTATTATTCACCTGTAATAGTCACCTGTATTATTCACCTGTAATAGTCACCTGTAATAGTCACCTGTATTATTCACCTGTAAAATGTACCTGTATTATTCAGCTGTATTATTCACCTGTAAAAGTAACCTGTATTATTTACCTGTATTGTTCAGCTGTATTATTCACCTGTATTATTCACCTGTAATAGTCACCTGTATTATTCACCTGTATTATTTACCTGTATTATTCACCTGTAATAGTCACCTGTATTATTCACCTGTAATAGTCACCTGTAATAGTCACCTGTATTATTCACCTGTAAAATGTACCTGTATTATTCAGCTGTATTATTCACCTGTAAAAGTAACCTGTATTATTTACCTGTATTGTTCAGCTGTATTATTCACCTGTATTATTCAGCTGTAATAGTCACCTGTAATAGTTACCTGTAATAGTCACCTGTATTATTCACCTGTATTATTCACCTGTATTATTCACCTGTAATAGTCACCTGTATTATTCACCTGTAATAGTCACCTGTATTATTCAGCTGCATTATTCACCTGTATTATTCAGCTGTAATATTCAGCTGTATTATTCACCTGTTATAGTCACCTGTATTATTCAGCTGCATTATTCACCTGTATTATTCAGCTGTAATAGTCACCTGTATTATTCAGCTGTATTATTCACCTGTAATAGTCACCTGTATTATTCAGCTGTATTATTCACCTGTAATAGTCACCTGTATTATTCAGCTGCATTATTCACCTGTATTATTCAGCTGTAATAGTCACCTGTATTATTCAGCTGTATTATTCACCTGTAATAGTCACCTGTATTATTCAGCTGTATTATTCACCTGTAATAGTCACCTGTATTATTCAGCTGTATTATTCACCTGTAATAGTCACCTGTATTATTCAGCTGCATTATTCAGCTGTAATATTCACATGTAATATTTACCTGTATTATTCAGCTGTATTATTCACCTGTAATATTTACCTGTATTATTCAGCTGTAATATTCTCCTGTAATAGTTACCTGTATTATTCACCTGTATTATTCACCTGTATTATTCAGCTGTAATATTCTCCTGTATTATTCACCTGTAATATACACTGAGTGGACAGAACATTATATTGGATTGCACCCCCTTTTGCCCTCAGAACAGCCTCAATTCGTCAGGGCATCGACTCTACATGTTGTCGAAAGCATTCCACAGGGATGCTGGCCCATGTTGACTCCAATGCTTCCCACTGTTGTGTCAAGTTGGCTGGATGTCCTTTGGGTGGTGGACCATTCTTGATACACGGGAAACTGTTGAGTGTGAAAAACCTAGCAACGTTGCAGTTCTTGACACACAAACTGTTGCGCCTGGCACCTAATACCATACCCCTTTCAAAGTCACTTAAATCTTTTGTCTTGCCCATTCACCCTCTGAATGGCACACATACACAATCCATGTCTCAGTTGTCTCCAGGCTTAAAAATCCTTCTTTAACCTGTCTCCTCCCCTTCACCTACCCTGATTGAAGTGGAATTAACAAGTGACATCAATAAGGGATCATAGCTTTCACCTGGACTCAGGCATCAATAAGGGATCATAGCTTTCACCTGGACTCAGACATCAATAAGGGATCTTAGCTTTCACCTGGACTCACCTGATCAGTCTATGTCATGGAAAGAGCAGGTGTTCTTAATGTTTTGTACACTCATTGTATTCACCAGTCAAATCTGTCCTCAGACATCACTCCCCAAAATATGTTCTTCACTCCCTCTCTGTTAAAATATATACATTCAACTGTTTAGGACCTCCATATAAAACACAACTTAATGAGGTGATTTTGGTATCGGAAGTTGTATTGCACACTAATTATTTTCTGTCTGTCTGTCATGACGTGAGATTTCTCTCTTATTTTCCAGGACCTCAGAGGCAGATTCTGGATAAATCCTACTACCTTGGCCTCCTCAGGTAAGGCATAGCAGAACATGTAGCTCCACGCGGTCTATACTGTATCTTCCTGTGCTTATCTGTTCACAACAGTGAACATGGTCTTCAATGTATCTCAACAGGAGTAAGATCAATGAACTGACGACAGAGACCAGCAAACTGCAGAAGGAGATCGACAACTTCAATCAGGAGAACTCTGTTTACCTCTCCTATGAGAAAAGGTAAGGTCATCGGCTAGGAAATACATAGTGAACAAATAGGCTTTCAGTAGTTTTTTTATAGACAACTCAGAGACACTTTTAGTTTTTTATCATCAATTGGTTCTCATGTTCTCATCATCCAAGGTGTATGTGGGCTCCCGAGTGGCGCAGCGGTCTAAGGCACTGCATCTCAGTGCTTGAGGCGTCACTACAGACCCCCCTGGTTCGATTCCAGGCTGTATCACAACCGGCCGTGATTGGGAGTCCCATAGGGCGGCGCACAATTGGCCCAGCGTCGTCCGGGTTTGGCCGGTGTAGGCCGTCATTGTAAATAAGAATTTGTTCTTAATAATAATAATATGCCATTTAGCAGATGCTTTTATCCAAAGCGACTTACAGTCATGTGCGCATACATTTTTTACGTATGGGTGTATCCCGGGGATTGAACCCACTACCCTGGCGTTACAAGCGCCATGCTCTACCAATTGAGCTACAGAGGACCACTTAACTGACTTGCCTAGTTAAATAAAGGTTGAATAAATAACAAATGTGGATGGTCTCTAATGGTCCGGTTGTTGTATCCCCTGCAGAGCAGAAGGACTTGCTGGTGAACTGAAGGATTTACAGGGACAGCTGGCAGATTACAATATGGTAAGGGACATATGAAGAAGATATTATATTATTATTAACTACGAGTTGATGAGTTATATGGATCACATTAGGATGTACTAATACCGCTGTTACCTTTTTGAATTTCAGCTAGTTGACAAGTTGAACACCAACACTGAGATGGAGGAAGTCATAAATGACTTCAATATGGTGATTAGTTTTGATCATTTAGCGTACTGTTTTGTACATTCATTATCTACAAGATAGGATACGTTTATTCATTCAGTCCTAACCCTAACTGTTTGCACACTATGTTTGTGTAGCTGAAAGCACAGAACGACAGAGAGGCTCAAAGCATGGATGTCATATTCACAGAAAGACGGGAGTAAGTACTCAAATATTTATTTAATATGACAAAACGTTGACTACCTACACCAGGGGTCTCCAACACTACCTACACCAGGGGTCTCCAACACTACCTACACCAGGGGTCTCCAACACTACCTACACCAGGGGTCTCCAACACTACCTACACCAGGGGTCTCCAACACTACCTACACCAGGGGTCTCCAACACTACCTACACCAGGGGTCTCCAACACTACCTACACCAGGGGTCTCCAACCTTTCTACCTACACCAGGGGTCTCCAACACTACCTACACCAGGGGTCTCCAACACTACCTACACCAGGGGTCTCCAACACTACCTATATAATATATATATAATATGCCATTTAGCAGACGCTTTTATCCAAAGCGACTTACAGTCATGCGTGCATACATTTTTTTGTGTATGGGTGGTCCCGGGGATCGAACCCACTACCCTGGCGTTACAAGCGCCGTGCTCTACCAGCTGAGCTACAGAGGACCACACCAGGGGTCTCCAACACTACCTACACCAGGGGTCTCCAACCTTTTCTAGCGTGAGAGCTACTTAAAAAACATGTTGCGAGCTACTCATTATTTTCTAGCTTTTTCAAGTAGTAACATTGTTCTCTTAATAATAATAATAATAATAATAATAATAATAATATGCCATTTAGCAGACGCTTTTATCCAAAGCGACTTACAGTCATGCGTGCATACATTTTTACGTATGGGTGGTCCCGGGGATCGAACCCACTACCCTTGGCGTTACAAGCGCCGTGCTCTACCAGCTGAGCTACAGAGGCCCTCTTCTCCTCTCCCCTGCCACTCTTCCCCGTGTCCTTAGTGTACAAGAGAAAGTACTGTTTTCTGTCAATATACCTGGTACAGTAATGGTTAATAGACAACTCTTAAGGGGGCCCTATAAAATTGAGATTTTTTTTCCCCAAATTATGTTTTATTTTCCCCAAAGTATGTTTTCATTGGTATGAGATTAGTTCTTTTTTTTTTTTCACTTTCAAAATTAGAATTGTTCATAGAGAAACAACAAAATTGGATTTTCTGAGTCCATGTCAATGTTTAAATCACATTTTTAGGTCTGGAAGAAAACGATCAAATAGATTTTTTAGTATAATTCCCCTTTAATTGCGCGTCTAGTGTGTGAGGAATGTGCCTTCTAACATGCCGGTCTAGTGATGGTTCTGTACTGATGCTACTCATTTCACGGCAAAGTTGGGATAATGTCAATGTTGCGTTGATTAGATAGTAGCTGGGAGCTTGCGGTGTCTGATACTTGTGATATTTGTTTATGACAGTTTGCGGTGGAACACGTGAAAATTGCATGTACTTTAAGAATTGTTTGGCGAGCTACACATAAGTGGCCTGCAAACTACTGGTAGCTAGCGATCTACCTGTTGGAGACCCCTGACCTCCACTATGTTTGACCTGTTGGAGACCCCTGACCTCCACTATGTTTGACCTGTTGGAGACCCCTGACCTCCACTATGTTTGACCTGTTGGAGACCCCTGACCTCCACTATGTTTGACCTGTTGGAGACCCCTGACCTCCACTATGTTTGACCTGTTGGAGACCGCTGACCTCCACTATGAAAGACCTGTTGGAGACCCCTGACCTCCACTATGTTTGACCTGTTGGAGACCCCTGACCTCCACTATGTTTGACCTGTTGGAGACCGCTGACCTCCACTATGTTTGACCTGTTGGAGACCCCTGACCTCCACTATGAAAGACCTGTTGGAGACCGCTGACCTCCACTATGTTTGACCTGTTGGAGACCCCTGACCTCCACTATGTTTGACCTGTTGGAGACCCCTGACCTCCACTATGTTTGACCTGTTGGAGACCCCTGACACAAACAAAAGACTGGGAGCAGCTCAACTTCTGCTGCAGCAGCCTCCATGCTGGGTCCCTCAATACTAGCCTGGCCTCCAGGCTGGGTCCCTCAATACTAGCCTGGCCTCCACGCTGTTCCCTCAATACTAGCCTGGCCTCCACGCTGTTCCCTCAATACTAGCCTGGCTTCCATGCTGGGTCCCTCAATACTAGCCTGGCCTCCATGCTGGGTCCCTCAATACTAGCCTGGCCTCCACGCTGGGTCCCTCAATACTAGCCTGGCCTCCACGCTGGGTCCCTCAATACTAGCCTGGCATCCATGCTGGGTCCCTCAATACTAGCCTGGCCTCCACGCTGGGTCCCTCAATACTAGCCTGGCCTTCACACTGGGTCCCTCAATACTAGCCTGGCCTCCACGCTGGGTCCCTCAATACTAGCCTGGCCTTCACACTGGGTCCCTCAATACTAGCCTGGCCTTCACACTGGGTCCCTCAATACTAGCCTGGCCTCCACGCTGGGTCCCTCAATACTAGCCTGGCCTTCACACTGGGTCCCTCAATACTAGCCTGGCCTTCACACTGGGTCCCTCAATACTAGCCTGGCCTCCACGCTGGGTCCCTCAATACTAGCCTGGCCTCAGATCTTTTTGTGCTGTCTGGCCAACTCCTCATGCGCCAATGACCAGAGGAGTTGGCCAGACAGTACAGACAGCACAGACCAGGCTACCTCCATGGTGGGTCCAACAGGGTTCCGTGTTGTCTTTGTAGTCCCCAGGCTCAATGTAGCGGTCCTTTATGTATCCATCCTCCTCCTCCTCCTCATCATCCTACCCATCCAGCCTGTGGTCCAGCTCATGGGCGCTGGTCTCCGTCTGAGTAGCGTCCTGTAGTGAACACGTTAACATCCTCCTCCTCTCTCAGCCGCTTGGTGCCGGTAGTTGAACAGCAGCTTGTACCAGGACTGGGTCTTGACGGCATACACGATGAACATAGAGGTGGTCAGGGCGATGGCTACCACACCCAGGAGAAACTTCCAGGCGTTCCGCAGCACTGGCATCCCACTGCCACTGACTGGGGGAGGGACAGGAGCAAACAGACAGCCAGGGATCACATACTTTAGAATACTCCTATGTGGTCTCCTTAGTATACAGTAATCCCCCCCTAATCCATACATCATTGGCCCCCTCGTACATTGACATTTTGGTCATTTAGCAGACGCTCCTATTCAGAGCTACTTACAGTCAGTTGTCGTGACGTGACTTTCATTAATATGATGACTGTTATTTATCGAATCAACTAACTATGTTTTAATTGTTACTCAGTTAAATTAATCATGTAACAATTAGGAATATTGTTCCAGTGTTTACTTTTTGTCTTCTGGAGACAAAGCACATTCCTTTCACCATACTAGAGGGCCAGAGATGATCCCCCTCTCTAATTTATGGCAGAGTGTTAAGGTGTCAAGACCGGCACAGCCCCCTCCCCTCTTCTGTGGGTAAGAGGGTCTGGTTGTTGTCAGCCATTTGCCAAGCTGATCTGAGGCCTTTGATCCTCACCCAGGAGAGTCATGACACAGCGCATTCACAGGATTAGTAGCTGTACTGTCGTTTAGCCATCTAGGGCGGCAGGTAGCTTAGTGGTTAAGAGCGTTGTGCCAGTACCCGAAAGGTTGCTGGTTCTAATCCCGAGCCGACTAGGTGAAAAATCTGTCGATGTGCCCTTGAGCAAGGCACTTAACCCTAATTGCTCCTGTAAGTCGCTCTGGATAAGAGCGTCTGCTAAATGACTAAAATGTAAATGTAAATGGTTTTGAAGAACTGTCTATGACCTGCTCTAGTGTAGATGATTGTGTCTGTCTGCTGACTGACCACGAGAGTTTACAAACTTTCTTACCCTCTTCTGAAGTCTCCTCGGGATATGGGCCTCCTCATACCACAGTGTTAATAGAGTCAATAAGACTCCTGTCTCAGGGTAGCAGTGCTGATCTGGGATCAGGTTACTCTGTGTCCGTGTAATCTTACTCATTATGTCCCTCTCCTCAACCACTGTGTTATATAGTCTAGTCATTAACACCTTCTCATACCACTGTGTTATATAGTCTAGTCATTAACACCTCCTCATACCACTGTGTTACATAGTCTAGTCATTAACACCTCCTCATACCACAGTGTTACATAGTCTAGTCATTAACACCTCCTCATACCACTGTTATATAGTCTAGTCATTAACACCTCATCATACCACTGTGTTACATAGTCTAGTCATTAACACCTCCTCATACCACTGTGTTACATAGTCTAGTCATTAACACCTCCTCATACCACTGTGTTATATAGTCTAGTCATTAACACCTCCTCATACCACTGTGTTATATAGTCTAGTCATTAACACCTCCTCATACCACAGTGTTATATAGTCTAGTCATTAACACCTCCTCATACCACAGTGTTACATAGTCTAGTCATTAACACCTCCTCATACCACAGTGTTATATAGTCTAGTCATTAACACCTCCTCATACCACTGTGTTATATAGTCTAGTCATTAACACCTCCTCATACCACTGTGTTATATAGTCTAGTCATTAACACCTCCTCATACCACTGTGTTATATAGTCTAGTCATTAACACCTCCTCATACCACAGTGTTATATAGTCTAGTCATTAACACCTCCTCATACCACTGTGTTATATAGTCTAGTAATTAACACCTCCTCATACCACTGTGTTACATAGTCTAGTCATTAACATCTTCTCATACCACTGTGTTATATAGTCTAGTCATTAACACCTCCTCATACCACTGTGTTATATAGTCTAGTCATTAACACCTCCTCATACCACTGTGTTATATAGTCTAGTCATTAACACCTCCTCATACCACTGTGTTATATAGTCTAGTCATTAACACCTCCTCATACCACTGTGTTACATAGTCTAGTCATTAACACCTCCTCATACCACTGTGTTATATAGTCTAGTCATTAACACCTCCTCATACCACTGTGTTATATAGTCTAGTCATTAACACCTCCTCATACCACTGTGTTATAAAGTCTAGTCATTAACACCTCCTCATACCACTGTGTTATATAGTCTAGTCATTAACACCTCCTCATACCACTGTGTTATATAGTCTAGTCATTAACACCTCCTCATACCACTGTGTTATATAGTCTAGTCATTAACACCTCCTCATACCACTGTGTTATATAGTCTAGTCATTAACACCTCCTCATACCACTGTGTTATATAGTCTAGTCATTAACACCTCCTCATACCACTGTGTTATATAGTCTAGTCATTAACATCTTCTCATACCACTGTGAGGACATGATCCTAACTCTGGTTTCTATAGGAAGGAGGACATGATCCTAACTCTGGTTTCTATAGGAAGGAGGACATGATCCTAACTCTGGTTTCTATAGGAAGGAGGACATGATCCTAACTCTGGTTTCTATAGGAAGCAGGACATGATCCTAACTCTGGTTTCTATAGGAAGCAGGACATGATCCTAACTCTGGTTTCTATAGGAAGGAGGACATGATCCTAACTCTGGTTTCTATAGGAAGGAGGACATGATCCTAACTCTGGTTTCTATAGGAAGGAGGACATGATCCTAACTCTGGTTTCTATAGGAAGGAGGAGATGATCCTAACTCTGGTTTCTATAGGAAGGAGGACATGATCCTAACTCTGGTTTCTATAGGAAGGAGGACATGATCCTAACTCTGGTTTCTATAGGAAGGAGGAGATGATCCTAACTCTGGTTTCTATAGGAAGGAGGATATGATCCTAACTCTGGTTTCTATAGGAAGGAGGACATGATCCTAACTCTGGTTTCTATAGGAAGGAGGAGATGATCCTAACTCTGGTTTCTATAGGAAGGAGGACATGATCCTAACTCTGGTTTCTATAGGAAGGAGGACATGATCCTAACTCTGGTTTCTATAGGAAGGAGGACATGATCCTAACTCTGGTTTCTATAGGAAGGAGGAGATGATCCTAACTCTGGTTTCTATAGGAAGGAGGAGATGATCCGAGCGGTGGAGGAGGAGATGGAGCGGGAGAAGCAGGCTGCTGATGACATCATCAAAAAGATGTCTCCAGAGAAACAGGACCAGTACGCTGCCATGAAGGCCAACAACGAGGAGCTGCTACAGGTCAGTGGTGATCTAGGATCAGTTTGGCGTTTTAGATCATAATGAATGAGATGTACGGTGCCTTTAGAAAGTATTCGTACCCCTTGACTTGTTCCACATTTTGTTGTGTTACAATAGATGTTAGAATCACCTTTAGCAGCAATTACAGCTGTGAGTCTTTCTGGGTCAGTCTCTAAAAGCTTTGCACACCTGGATTGTAAAATAAAATATATATATTCTTCAAGCTCTGTCAAGTTGGTTGTTGATCATTGCTAGACAGCCATTTTCAAGTCTTGCCATAGATTTTCAAGTAGATTTAAGTCAAAACTGTAACTAGACCACTCAAGGAATATTCAATGTCGTCTTGGTAACCAACTCCAGTGTAGATTTGGCCTTGTGTTTTAGGTTATTGTCCTGCTGAAAGGTGAATTTGTCTCCCAGTGTCTGTTGGAAAGCAGACTGAACCAAGTTTTCCTCTAGGATTTTGCCTGTGCTTAGCTGTGTTCCATTTATTTTGATCCTAAAAAAAACTCCCTAGTCATTGCTGATGACAAGCATACCCATAACATGATGCAGCGACCACCATGCTTGAAATATGAAGAGTGGTACTCAGTGATGTGTTGTTTTGGATTTGACCAAAACATAAGGCTTTGTATTAATTTCTTTGCCACATTTTTTTGTTTTACTTTAGTGCCAAACAATATGCATGTTTTGGAATATTTGTATTCTGTACAGTCTTCCTTCTTTTCACTCTGTCATTTAGTTTAGTATTGTGGAGTAACTACAATGTTGTTTTCTCCTATCACAGCCATTAAACTCTGTAACTGTTTTAAAGTCACCATTGGCCTCATGGTGAAATCCCTGAGCGGTTTCCTTCCTCTCTGGCAACTGAGTTAGGAAGGACGCCTGTACCTTCCCAGATCAGCAGTCCTACTCTGAGACACTTTACGAACAGAGGGGAGGATGTAACCCCCTGTGACATGCTGTAGACTCCTATGTCTCTTTCTTACGCCTTAGATAGGAGTCTACAGCCATGTCACGGGGTTAAGGGAGGACGTGAGTCGTTCAGTTAAACAAGAGACACCGGGGGTTGTTGAACCTTTGTCATGATAAGTTAGTGTTGTGGTGGTGAAGTCTACATACTCTTCTCTGTAGTAGCAGTATGCATGGAACCGAACACTTACTGTATCTATACTCTCAGACAGCAGTCCTTGATGTCAAGCGATAACTGTTAGTAGGTAAAGCTACGTGACACACGTCCTGTCTGTTCCTCCCCCTGCTGGACATAACGACGCCAGGTGGCCTTGTGTTGAGTAGGTGTCAGCACCAATGACTGATGTTTTCCTGTCTGTTCCTCCCCCTGCTGGACATAACGACGCCAGGTGGCCTTGTGTTGAGTAGGTGTCAGCACCAATGACTGATGTTTTCCTGTCTGTTCCTCCCCCTGCTGGACATAACGACGCCAGGTGGCCTTGTGTTGAGTAGGTGTCAGCACCAATGACTGATGTTTTCCTGTCTGTTCCTCCCCCTGCTGGACATAACGACGCCAGGTGGCCTTGTGTTGAGTAGGTGTCAGCACCAATGACTGATGTTTTCCTGTCTGTTCCTCCCCCTGCTGGACATAACGACGCCAGGTGGCCTTGTGTTGAGTAGGTGTCAGCACCAATGACTGATGTTTTCCTGTCTGTTCCTCCCCCTGCTGGACATAACGACGCCAGGTGGCCTTGTGTTGAGTAGGTGTCAGCACCAATGACTGATGTTTTCCTGTCTGTTCCTCCCCCTGCTGGACATAACGACGCCAGGTGGCCTTGTGTTGAGTAGGTGTCAGCACCAATGACTGATGTTTTCCTGTCTGTTCCTCCCCCTGCTGGACATAACGACGCCAGGTGGCCTTGTGTTGAGTAGGTGTCAGCACCAATGACTGATGTTTTCCTGTCTGTTCCTCCCCCTGCTGGACATAACGACGCCAGGTGGCCTTGTGTTGAGGAGGTGTCAGCACCAATGACTGATGTTTTCCTGTCTGTTCCTCCCCCTGCTGGACATAACGACGCCAGGTGGCCTTGTGTTGAGTAGGTGTCAGCACCAATGACTGATGTTTTCCTGTCTGTTCCTCCCCCTGCTGGACATAACGACGCCAGGTGGCCTTGTGTTGAGTAGGTGTCAGCACCAATGCCTGATGTTTTCCTGTCTGTTCCTCCCCCTGCTGGACATAACGACGCCAGGTGGCCTTGTGTTGAGTAGGTGTCAGCACCAATGACTGATGTTTTCCTGTCTGTTCCTCCCCCTGCTGGACATAACGACGCCAGGTGGCCTTGTGTTGAGTAGGTGTCAGCACCAATGACTGATGTTTTCCTGTCTGTTCCTCCCCCTGCTGGACATAACGACGCCAGGTGGCCTTGTGTTGAGTAGGTGTCAGCACCAATGACTGATGTTTTCCTGTCTGTTCCTCCCCCTGCTGGACATAACGACGCCAGGTGGCCTTGTGTTGAGTAGGTGTCAGCACCAATGACTGATGTTTTCCTGTCTGTTCCTCCCCCTGCTGGACATAACGACGCCAGGTGGCCTTGTGTTGAGTAGGTGTCAGCACCAATGACTGATGTTTTCCTGTCTGTTCCTCCCCCTGCTGGACATAACGACGCCAGGTGGCCTTGTGTTGAGTAGGTGTCAGCACCAATGACTGATGTTTTCCTGTCTGTTCCTCCCCCTGCTGGACATAACGACGCCAGGTGGCCTTGTGTTGAGTAGGTGTCAGCACCAATGACTGATGTTTTCCTGTCTGTTCCTCCCCCTGCTGGACATAACGACGCCAGGTGGCCTTGTGTTGAGTAGGTGTCAGCACCAATGACTGATGTTTTCCTGTCTGTTCCTCCCCCTGCTGGACATAACGACGCCAGGTGGCCTTGTGTTGAGGAGGTGTCAGCACCAATGACTGATGTTTTCCTGTCTGTTCCTCCCCCTGCTGGACATAACGACGCCAGGTGGCCTTGTGTTGAGTAGGTGTCAGCACCAATGACTGATGTTTTCCTGTCTGTTCCTCCCCCTGCTGGACATAACGACGCCAGGTGGCCTTGTGTTGAGTAGGTGTCAGCACCAATGACTGATGTTTTCCTGTCTGTTCCTCCCCCTGCTGGACATAACGACGCCAGGTGGCCTTGTGTTGAGTAGGTGTCAGCACCAATGACTGATGTTTTCCTGTCTGTTCCTCCCCCTGCTGGACATAACGACGCCAGGTGGCCTTGTGTTGAGTAGGTGTCAGCACCAATGACTGATGTTTTCCTGTCTGTTCCTCCCCCTGCTGGACATAACGACGCCAGGTGGCCTTGTGTTGAGTAGGTGTCAGCACCAATGACTGATGTTTTCCTGTCTGTCTTTATCTCAGGATCTGGATGGTCGTCAGGAGGAGCTGGATGCCCTCATAACGCGGAAGGAGATGTTTGAAGCGGTGAGTGGCAGTGTGCATCCCAAATGGCACCCTATTCCCTTCAAAGTATCATAAATAACCCCCCCCCCCCCCCCCCTCCCGACTCTACTGATAGCTACGTTATTGAGTAAAAATGTACTTTCTATGCCTGTGATATGTTGGTTGTCCCACCATCTTCAGATGAATGCACTAACTGTAAGACGCTCTGGACAAGAGCACCCCCCTTTTGCCCTCAGAACAGCCTCAATTCGTCAGGGCATTGGACTCTGCAAGGTGTCGAAAGCGTTCCGCGGGGATGCTGGCCCACGTTGACTCCAATGCTTCCCACAGTTGTGTCAAGTTGGCTGGATGTCCTTTGGGTGGTGGACCATTCTTGACACACACAGGAAACTGTTGGGCGTGAAACACCCAGCAGCGTTGCAGTTCTTGACGTACTCAAACCGGTGCGCCTGGCACCTACTACCATACCCCGTTCAAAGGCACTTAAATATTGTGTCTTGCCCATTCACCCTCTGAATGGCACACATACACAATCCATGTCTCAATTGTCTCAAGGCTTGAACATATTTTTTTTACCTGTCTCCTCCCCTTCATCTACACTGATTGAAGTGGATTTAACAAGTGACATCAATAAGGGATCATAGCTTTCACCTGGATTCACCTGATCAGTCTATGTCATGGAAAGAGCAGGTGTTCATAATGTTTTGTCCACTCAGTGTTTAAAGGGAATAGGGTGTAATTTGGGTCACAGACACTCTGATGTCACAGACACTCCTGTCTGTATTAATACCACAGCACACCCATGACCTTCCAAACAGGCAGGGTGACGTTCATTTGAAACAGGTCACCGCTGTGTTTCTTCATGGGCTGAATCAACAAGCTCACTCACTCATGGGCTGAATCAACAAGCTCACTCACTCATGGGCTGAATCAACAAGCTCACTCACTCATGGGCTGAATCAACAAGTTCACTCACTCATGGGCTGAATCAACAAGCTCACTCACTCATGGGCTGAATCAACAAGCTCACTCACTCATGGGCTGAATCAACAAGCTCACTCACTCATGGGCTGAATCAACAAGCTCACTCACTCATGGGCTGAATCAACAAGCTCACTCACTCATGGGCTGAATCAACAAGCTCACTCACTCATGGGCTGAATCAACAAGCTCACTCACTCATGGGCTGAATCAAATCAAGGTTTTTAAGAGCATGTTTGAATGGTTAAAGATTGGGGGCTGTATCTAATAATCATGTTCATACATTTCCTGAAAACCCGAAATGTGTATTTTACTCAGACAAAAACCGTTAGTCTGTTGTCATCATGGTTGTATTTAAACCAGGGTAGATGTCACTGGTGCCATAGAAGGAGCCAGGGCCTTCCACTAAACAGGTAGTTAGACTGACTCAATCCCTTCTGTCCTGTGTGATGTCTGCAGGTTAGACTGACTCAATCCCTTCTGTCCTGTGTGATGTCTGCAGGAGCTCTATCACTCCCAGGTGAAACAGGAAGCTGTGTCACTACATGAGAAGCTTCAGGAGCTGGAGCTGAGGAGGGACGCCATGGTGGCAGAGGACAAGAGCATGGGATCGCCCCAGGAGGAGAGGGACAGGCTGTTTAAACAGGTGAGGAGAGGGACAGGCTGTTTTAAACAGGTTAGGAGAGGGACAGGCTGTTTAAACAGGTGAGGAGAGGGACAGGCTGTTTAAACAGGTGAGGAGAGGGACAGGCTGTTTAAACAGGTGAGGAGAGGGACAGTCTGCTTAAACAGGTGAGGAGAGGGACAGGCTGTTTAAACAGGTGAGGAGAGGGACAGGCTGTTTTAAACAGGTGAGGAGAGGGACAGGCTGTTTAAACAGGTGAGGAGAGGGACAGGCTGTTTAAACAGGTGAGGAGAGGGACAGGCTGTTTTAAACAGGTGAGGAGAGGGACAGGCTATTTAAACAGGTGAGGAGAGGGACAGGCTGTTTAAACAGGTGAGGAGAGGGACAGGCTGTTTAAACAGGTGAGGAGAGGGACAGGCTGTTTAAACAGGTGAGGAGAGGGACAGGCTGTTTAAACAGGTGAGGAGAGGGACAGGCTGTTTAAACAGGTGAGGAGAGGGACAGGCTGTTTAAACAGGTGAGGAGAGGGACAGGCTGTTTAAACAGGTGAGGAGAGGGACAGGCTGTTTAAACAGGTGAGGAGAGGGACAGGCTGTTTAAACAGGTGAGGAGAGGGACAGGCTGTTTAAACAGGTTAGGAGAGGGACAGGCTGTTTAAACAGGTGAGGAGAGGGACAGGCAGTCATAGGTTTCTCTCTGTCTTTAAGTAAGGGTGGCAGGTAGCCTCAAGGTTAGAGTATTGGGGCCAGTAACAGAAAGGTTGCTGGTTCGAGTCCTGGAGCCGACAAGTTGAAAATGCTGCAGCTGTGCCTTTGAGCAAGGCACTTAACCCCAATTACTCCAGGGGGCTGTACATTGGTAACCCAGGCCGTGATCTCACTCCCTGGGCGTGTCTCATGGTGGCCACCCCCTAAATTATTCTGAAATACTGGGGGACACGGGGGACGGGGGTGGAGAAGTTTGGTAAAGAGATGTATATTTAAGGTCAAGTGAGTTGAATCTGTATGTTATGAATGCCCTCAACTGTCTCATATGCTTCAAAATGACACCTTGTTTTGCGCTCCAGGTAAAAGAGGACAACCAAGAAACAGCAAGCATGGAAAGACAGTACGTATTTCTGGGATATTTTGAAGTCTTATCCTAGCCAGCCAAAGTCATATTAGTGTTTATAACTCTGTGATGTTTATTACAGGTTGACTGAGATGCGTGAGAAGATGAGCCTGATCAACGAGGATATCCGACAGCTTGACAATAACATGGAGGAACACCAAGGTACAGACTGACTAAATCTCTGCACTGCTCTGCACTGGGGTCGTAGCTGGGGTCGTAGCTGTTTTATCTGAAGGGTTTCATAGTCGTGTATAACAATGAGATTTATGAGTTTTGCCATTTTCAAAGAGCTCTGCACTGGGGTGGTGTGGATGGGGAGTGGGATGGGATGGGAGAGTTTTGGGCACTTGGCCCAATGAGGGTGGTGGGGTACAGGGGGGGGACAGGGGAGCATTGTCCCTCACTGAACTGTTCCATAACAGTTCAGTGAATGGGATATAAATCCATTAAGGCCGCTGGATACTGTCCAAGACTACTCTCTCCGCTCCGCCTTGCCTGTATAGATTACAGCATCCTGTCCTGGCCAGGGAGCACATATATCCTGCGTCCCAAATGGCACCCTATTCCCTACCTAGTGCACTTACAAAGGGAATAGGGCACCATTTGGAACTTAGGCATACTGTAGACGCCTCTCTGGAAGACGTCTGTCTGCTGCTCTGCTCCGGTCTTAATGGGGATGTATTGTTATACTCCAGAGGGGAAGTCAACATGGCTGGTGGTCGATTGTAGAGGTGTTTTGAAGTCCCACACCAGGGCACTTAATGAAGGAAAGTCCCACACCAGGGCACTTAATGAAGGAAAGTCCCACACCAGGGCACTTAATGAAGGAAAGTCCCACACCAGGGCACTTAATGAAGGAAAGTCCCACACCAGGGCACTTAATGAAGGAAAGTCCCAAATGACACTTCATGTCACACCCTGACTTATGGGACTCTAGTATGTTGAGTCAGGGTGTGGAGATCTATGTTGTATAGTCTATGTTTAGTTCTAGTTGTTCTACTTCTATGTTTGGCCGGGTGTGATTCCCAATCAGAGGCAGCTGTCGCTCGTTGTCTCTGATTGGGGATCATACTTAAGTAGCCTGGTTGTTATTATTAGTTGTGGGATCTTGTTCCGTGTTAGAGGCCTGTTTTGTGTTTAGCCTTCGGACTTCACGTTTCGTTGGTTTGTTGTTTTGTTCTTGTGTTTATCGGTGAATAAACATGTATGCATTTCACGCTGCGCCTTGGTCTGACCCGTCCTTAAACGACCGTGACACTTCACTTCACATCAAATCAAATGTTATTGTTCACATACACATGTTTAGCAGATGTTATTGCGGGTGTAGCGTAATGCTTGTGTTCATAGCTCAGTGCAGTAGTATCTAACAATTCAGTCTCTCGGTCCCAGCTTTGATGCCCCTGTACTGACCTCGCCTTCTGGATGATAGTGGGGTGAACAGGCCGTGGCTCGGGTGGTTGATGTCCTTGATGATCTTTTTGGCCTTCCTGTGACATCGGGTGCTGTAGGTGTCCTGGAGGGCAGGCAGTGTGCCCCCAGTGATGCGTTCGGCAGACCGCACCACCCTCTGGAGAGCCTTGTGGTTGCGGGCGGTGCAGTTGCCGTACCAGGCGGTGATACAGCCCGACAGGATGCTCTCAATTGTGCATCTGTAAAAGTTTGTGAGGGTTTTAGGTGCCAAGCCACATTTCTTCAGCCTCCTGAGGTTGAAGAGGCTCTGTTGTGCCTTCTTCACCATACTGTCTGCGTGGGTGGACTATTTCAGATTGTCATTGACGTGTATGCCAAGGAACTTGAAGCTTTTCACCTTCTCCACTGCGGTCCCGTCGATGTGGATAGGGGCGTGCCCTCTCTGTTGTCTCCTGAAGTCCCTGATCAGCTCCTTCGTTTTGTTGACGTTGAGGGAGAGGTTATTTTCCTGGCACCACTCCGCCAGGGCCCTCACCTCCTCCCTGTAGGCGGTCTCGTCATTGTTGGTAATCAGGCCTACTACTGTTGTGTCGTCTGCAAATTTGATAATTGAGTTGGAGGTGTGCTTGGCCACACAGTCATGGGTGAACAGGGAGTACAGGAGGGGGCTGAGCACGCACCCTTGTGGGGCCCCAGTGTTGAGGATCAGCATAGTGGAGGTGTTGTTTCCCACCTTCACCACCAGGGGGCGGCCCGTCAGGAAGTCCAGGACCCAGTAGCACAGGGCGGTGGAGGATACTATGGTGTTGAATGCTGAGCTATAGTCAATGAACAGCATTCTGACGTAGGTATTCCTCTTGTCCAGATGGGATAGGGCAGTGTGCAGTGCGATGGCGATTACATAGTCTGTGGATCTATTGGGGCGGTATGCAAATTGAAGTGGGTCTAAGGTGTCAGGTAGGTGGAGGTGATATGATCCTTAACTAGCCTCTCAAAGCACTTCATGATGACATAAGTGAGTGCTACGTGGTGATAGTCATTTAGTTCAGTTACCTTTGCTTTCATGGGTACAGGAACAATGGTGGCCATCTTGAAGCAAGTGGGGACAGCAGACTGGGAAAGGGAGAGATTGAATATGTCCGTAAACACTCCAGCCAGCTGGTCTGCGCATGCTCTGAGGTCGCGGCTAGGGATATCGTCTGGGCCAGCAGCCTTGCGAGGGTTAACACGCTTAAATGTCTAACTCACGTCGGCCACGGAGAACGAGAGCCCACAGTCCTTGGTAGCGTGCTGCGTCGGTGGCACTGTGTTATCCTCAAAGCGGGCGAAGAAGGTGTTTAGTTGTCTAGGAGCAAGACCTCGGTGTCCGCGACCTGGCTGGTTTTCCCTTTGTAGTCCGTGATTGTCTGTAGACCCTGCCACATACGTCTCGTGTCTGAGCCGTTGAATTGTGACTCCACTTTGTCTCTTTACTGGCATTTTGCCTGTTGGATTGTCTTACGGAGGGAATAATTACACTGTTTGTATTCAACCATATTCCTTGTCACCTTGTCATGGTTAAATGCGGTGGTTCGCGCTTTCAGTTTTGCACGAATGTTGCCATCTATCCACGGTTTTTGGTTTGGGTAGGTTTTAACAGTCACAGTGGGAACAACATCCCCTATACACTTCCTGATGAACTCGTATACGTCCGTGTATACGTCAATGTTATTCTCAGAGGCAACCCAGAACATATCCCAGTCTGCGTGATCAAAAACAATCTTGAAGCATGGATTCTGATTGGTCAGACCAGCGTTGAATAGACCTTAGCACGGGTATTTCCTGTTTGAGTTTCTGCCTATAGGAAGGGAGGAGCAGATCTGATTTGCCGAAGGGAGGGCAGGGGAGGGCCTTGTAGCCATCCCGGAAGGGAGAGTAACGATGGTTGAGAGTTTTTGTAGAGGGAGTACTACAGGCAATGTGTTGAAAGAACTTCTGTAGCGTTTTCCTCAAATTTGCCTTGTTAAAATCTCCAGTTACAATAAATGCAGCCTCAGGAAATGTGGTTTTGCAGTTTGCAAGTCCAGCGTAGTTCCGTTGTGGTATCAGCTTGAGGGGGAATAAACACGGCTGTGACTATAACCGAAGCGAATTCTCTTGGGCGGTAATACGGTCGACATTTGATTGTGAGTTATCACAATCACACCATGAGTAGTTAATCATAAAACATACACCACCGCTTTTCTTCTTCCCGGAGAGTTCTTTATTCCTGTCTGTGCGATGTACTGAGAACCCAGCTGGCTGTATGGACAAGGACAGTACATCCCGAGAGAGCCATGATTCCGTGAAACAGAGTATGTTACAGTCGCTGATGTCTCTCTGGAAGGAGATCCTCGCCCTGAGCTCGTCTACTTTATTGTCCAGGGACTAAACATTAGCGAGTAAAATACTCTGAAGCGGTGGATGGTGTGCACGCCTCCTGAGTCGGACTAGAAGTCCACTCCGAATACTCTTCTCCGCCGGCAGCGTCATGGAGCAGCCTCTGGGATAAGTTCAATTGCACTGGGGGGTACGAACAAAGGATCCAATTCGGGAAAGTCGTATTCCTGGTCGTAATGCTGGTGAGTAACCACCGCTCTGATATCCAAAAGTTATTTCCGGCTGTATGTAATAACACTTTTAAAATGTTCTGGGCTAATAATAACACAGGAAAAAACGAAATACTGCAATGTTGCTTAGGAGCTAGAAGCAGAGCTGCCATGTCTGTCGGCGCCATCATGATCATCATATTCTCTATTGCCCACGGGCCCTGGTCAAAGTGCACTATATGAGGAATAGGGTGCCATTAGAGACGCATCCACAGCTCTCAATACTGGGAGGAAGTAGACACTTAAAGACGCTTTTTGTTCACTCTCTGTCCTAATATACACTGCATCATGTTGTTCTATCAGGCTTCTTTACTGCATGGCTTTTGATCTGACTGATTCCTGTCCTCAACTCTGTCTCATATCCTCTGACTGTTTCCTGTCCCCATCTGTCTCATATCCTCTGACTGTTTCCTGTCCTCAACTCTGTCTCATATCCTCTGACTGTTTCCTGTCCTCATATCCTCTGACTGTTTCCTGTCCTCATATCCTCTGACTGTTTCCTGTCCTCAACTCTGTCTCATATCCTCTGACTGTTTCCTGTCCTCATCACAGCTCTGTCTCATATCCTCTGACTGTTTCCTGTCCTCATATCCTCTGACTGTTTCCTGTCCTCCTCTGTCTCATATCCTCTGACTGTTTCCTCTCCTCATCTGTCTCATATCCTCTGACTGTTTCCTGTCCTCAACTTTGTCTCATATCCTCTGACTGTTTCCTGTCCTCCTCTGTCTCATATCCTCTGACTGTTTCCTGTCCCCATCTGTCTCATATCCTCTGACTGTTTCCTGTCCTCATCTCATCTCTGTCTCATATCCTCTGACTGTTTCCTGTCCTCATCTCATCTCTGTCTCATATCCTCTGACTGTTTCCTGTCCTCATCTCATCTCTGTCTCATATCCTCTGACTCATCATGACCAGACGGTAAGAGGCTGTGTCTCTACTTTACTTCATTACTGTGTCCCTCTTGTTCTCCGGGTTGTCCTTGTTCAACACCAACTCCTCAAACACACTAATCAACTAGACTAGGTCATCCTTCCAGTAGCATTGGTTTGGAACTAACTACTTCCACTTTACTTAATAACTACTCCTACTTTATATAGACCGTATACTCTACACTCTTAGAGGTA